ACTATATATTGATCAAATATTTTTGTTTTGTTTTTTGTCTATAATAAAATGATTCCTAAAGTAAATTTGGTTCTCCGACAGGGAAGTCCCCTTGATTATCATTATTTTTTAGTAACAAAACTAACTTAGAAATAGGTCGATATAGTTCTGACGAACAAGTCTTCACACAGGCTGAACGAACCAAACCCTTGGAATCAGGGTAAACCACCAAGATTACATCCCTACACATATATTTCTTTTAATTTGATTCCACTTTGACGTTTTCTGCAAACCAAGAATGAATTCTTTATGCCAATGTGACCAAAACAAATTCGCAAGATACTGGACCCTTCTCCAACGTTTGCGCAGGTACATATCCGCTCATTGAAAGCAGGGTTTCTTTTCCAAGTAATACGCCAATTGGTGTCATTTCTTAGCAGTCTACCTTGGATCTCATCGTGTTTCATTTCTTGCAAAGCCAATTTCAACTCTTTTCCGCTCCTACCAAATTAGTTTCGTGATCAGATCTGATCTCACATACTGGTCCTCTTCAAGCAATAAATCTCCTCAGTGCATTCTGTCTTGAGAGATACAGCTGCTTCAATATGGACCGCTCTACTTGACATACATGTGAAAATTACTGCTTATCTTTTTGCTTCTTTCCTTCCATCTTTAACCACAAATGGGCCGAAATAGTCTACAAAAGGTAAAAGGCAGTGCAGGTGAAATTTGTTCCGTGGGAAGATCAGCCATCTTTTGATCATAAACACTTGCCCGTAGTAGTCTACATTTGATACAGCAGAGTTACCATTTATGATCCAATATCGATTACGAAGTTCGTTCATCGTCAAACCACGATCTGTATTTTCATGTGCATGTCAGATGATCAAGTCAGTGAAGTGACCTTTCCTTGGAGTAATAATTGGGTGCTGGATTTCTTCTTCTAGTTCTTCCAATCTCTGCAAACACCCACCAACTCGCAATAGCCAGTTTTGGTCGAGAAATGGATCTAATCGGCACAACTGACTAGACCGTTTCACTCTGGAATTTTGTACTGCACCACACACGTCTTCCTTTGTTCTACTCTTCGACCCGAGGATTTCTATCTCTTCGTAAAACGTCTCCTTGGATTAATTTCAGGATGGATGTTTCTGCTCTTTCTAATTCTTGCAGAGAAATTGGTTGAATCTTGCTATTCCAAGCGTTCACTGTCGTCGGTACAGAAGGTCGATGTGCTGGGAACTTCATTCTTAGTAACCATGCAATTATTTTCTTCAGCCGATGCCAACCGGAAATACCAGCAAGTTGCTGCAACAGACCTTTGCGTTGAATTTCCTCACTTACACTAGCAAAGCATATGTTAGGTGGTTGATCACAAGCAGCAGGGAGGTTGAGGTTTATTGGACAATTTGGCCAATCAATCTCAGGCTTCCGTAGGAAACTTGGTCCGTTGATCCATCTTCTTTGCTCAAGAAACTGTTTCCTGCTAAGAATTCGAGACGCATCGTCTGCTGGAATCATTTTACTCTCAATGTAGCGCCACTAGGCAGGAATCGTAATTTTCGCGGATCGTTTGCACAAAATTTGCCACAAAGATCGGAAAACGCTTCGTCTCGTTTTTGATATACTGTAGAACAGTTGAACTGTCTTTCCAAAACAATTCTTTATCCAGTTGCCAGTCCAATTCTTTGATAAGCATATTTCTAACCCTAACAGATGTGGCTGCTGTTAGCTTCAAACAAGGAATAGTTGAACCTTTTGCTGGGGCAACTCTAGACTTTCCCAGTAAAAAGGCTACATTTAATTTCTCCTTGTTCGCTCTCCAAATGCAAGTAAGAAATCTGTCCATAACCGTCAGAGCTGGCATCGGAAAAATGGTGTAGTTGTCAAGACTTCACGTTTCCAAAGTTGTCTGGCTTCACACATTGTGGCATCTGAAATCCTTGTAACAATAAAAGTTCTTTGCGCCACCTTTCATATCTCATCCGATATACATCAGAGATAAACATCATCCCAGTCTAACCTTTCTTTACAGAGATTCTGCAGAATCTTCTTACCCGCAAGCACAAAGGGGGCGGCCATACTCAAAGGATCATAAATTGAGCTAAGTGTAGCCAAAATTCCTCTTAGTGTCAGCGTTTTATCTTTAAGGACAATTCGAAATCCAAACATATCTGATTCCACCAGCCAGTCTACACCAAGTACCCATTCGAGAGGAATATGTTCATTGTGTAGCTCAAATAGTTTGGCGTGGTTCGTTATGTGCTTTTCTGGGAGAAGAGCACGCCAAAAATATGAACATTCATCTGGTATTCTTCTACTTCCTTGGAAAGGTCACCCTCAGGCCACCACAAGAATCTAAGAAAATCCTAATGGTTTTCTGGCACTCGAACTTCGTAGAACATTGCCTCTCTATCGGCGGTAAAGGCCACTGGAGACTGCCGAAACCTAACAGGACTCCAACTAATGAACTACTCAGATCTGGTCCTTGGATCAACTTATCGTCCCGGGATTGCCCATGGTATTTTGCGCTGCAGTCGAAAACTACTCTAACTTTCTTTTTTACATAGCAATTGCTTTAACATTTGCAATTAACTTCAGGGGAACGAATGATTGGCATACCCCCAAATGAACCATTTCGTCAAAATGTTCCGTCGCAAATGATGTGGGCATTCATTACGTTTTCAGCCTTGTTCTGTTGGCTCTTTTTGTCTTTCTTGGTCTTCTCGTTCTGTTGGCTCCTTTTGTCTTTCTTTGCCTCCTCGTTCTGGTTGGCTCTTACAGACACATTGCAGCTACTTTGAATTTCAAAGGTGTCAGTTTTTTTTACTCACCCTGTACAGTAGAATCATCATTAATCATACAGTAAACAGTCAATATTATAGAACCATATAAGCAAAAAGTCAATATTATAGAACCTTAATTGTATCAATATCATGAAACCATGTAAGCAAACAGTCAATATTATAGAATCATGTAAGCAAATAGTCAATATTATAGAACCATGTAAGCAAACAGTCAATATTATAGAATCATGTAAGCAAACAGTCAATGTTATAGAATCGTGTGTCAATATTATGAAATCATGCAAACAAACGGTCAATATTATAGAATCATGTGAGCTGTATGAAGTTCATTTAAAACATTCGGTCAAAAGATCTTTTATAGCTGGCAGATTATCAGAATTGTCCACCAATTCCTTTTCTGGTTGTTTGCCTTTGCCAAACTGTGTGCTTTCTTCCATTGTTGAAGTTGTCCCCATTTGGAAGCCATAGATATTTAACGTTAATTGCTCATAATTGATCGTGTCCATTTTAAAGTGCCTATGAAACGAAATTTTTGTCTGCGACTTTATACCTTATTATGACACTTTTTGATAGGAGGAATCTCGTGGTATAATTTTTTTTTTAAACTGCGGGAAATTTGTCTTTTTTTTGCCTAAAGTGACATGGAATTTTCCAAAGGACTGGGAACTAGAAATAACAGCTTGTGACGTCACACGTTAGAGTTGTTTTTCACAAAGTTGTTTTGACTCAAAATGTTAGCACTTTTAAATGACTTTCTACGACTTTGGCAAGTAAATTTCTATGATGTCCGATCTCGATTCGACTTCTGACATACCAAATAGTGAGAGTAACGCTGCAAGCGATGATTCTGAAAATGAATACGTCTTTTCTGGCGAGTATTTACCTTACCAAAACAAGCCATTGGCAAGCGAAAGTGAGTCTAGTTCGCAAGACGTCGATGAACCAGACGAAGATGGGCTTTCCGTTGAGATTTTGAGACAACGTTATGAAAAATAAGTGCCTGTGGACAAATGGTAAGTCTTTAAGAGCTTTTGTATTTCATTTCATTTATTTGTATCTGTAGATGCTAGATTTCATTAACTAGTCGTGATCAACTCGTTCTTGTAGATATTTATTTCATATCAATCAATCCTCACATAGTGTACGGTTTCTACAAATTTACAAAGGTAAATACAAATATTACATAGCTTACAAATATTAAACAATCACTCTTATAATCAATATAACTTACAATCACTCTGACGTTATCCAACTTTACTCTGCATCGTAGAATATCTTAGTATTTTGTACGTCTACATCTACATGTTTTTAGCCTTAGCTTCTTAGTCATCTTCACCCCTGTATAAGGGTCCTGTCAGTTTTATAGCTTATTACGTATTCTAATCTTAATACTCTATTCTTATGCTAATTTCTAATTAACGGAAGTTACAGTATCTTTGATAACCGTCGAAAATCGTTTTGGGTTGAATGGGTTCTGCTTTACTTTACAGGTGTATATGTGGGAATTGCAATGACCTACATCTTGTTGGTGCAAGAGAATATCGTTGTTGTCGCGAGGTCATTGAATGCGTTGCGAAATTTACGTTTATTGGACAGAACGCTCGTTGCATAACAGATCATGATGATTTCAGTTCACTAATGAATAGAACTGTTCTTCTCGAAGTGGCCCCATTACTGAGGAATAAGGATGGAAAATGATACAGAAGACAACCTGGTAACACAGAGCACCAGTAAGTTTGATTTTGCAATTTTTAGTTTATAAATGACTTTATTTTATAAAACCTTCTTATCACTTATGACAAATTGGGAGTTCTCCCATAGTCCCATTGTTTCAGACCATAGCACCCTTTCTGTCATGTTTTCAGCCATATGTACCGTTTATAACATGTATATACTTATAATTATAAATTAAATAGTTGAAGATTTATATGCTTTCAATTGTAGGTTTGCTCGAGCAGTCGGCTATCGATGGCTGGCCAAAGTGGCTATTTGGCTACATGGGTTGGGAGAACACCAGGCCACTGCTTGCTTGCTTGTACCACAAATTAAGAAGTGAATATTTTAGTAATCAGGTGCAAGGATATCAATCAGGGCAAGAACGAGCAAATACTACATAACAAACTATTGATACACTATGCAAACTGTTATGTATGATCCTAGGTACCATGTAAACCAACTCAAAATTTAGATAGTTTTTTATGTCAACTATACACTCTACATGCTTATATTTGTATCAAAGCTCCAGGGTACAGTGCTGGTATGTACCTGGGACTGTATAAAAAGGGTATATTTTAAATGACCTATTTTTTAATGAACAAAACAAAATTTTATTTTGGGTCAATTCTACTAGTTTGGACAATGACCACTTTGCAGGTGGTTGTGCTAGCCTTCCAGCCTCAGCCTCTTCAAGTTTCCTTTTACATGTTGCTTGCTCTTGGGCTAAAAAATATTTACCACAGATCATCAATAAATTTTTAACTGATAAATAAAGCCTTAAACTTTATGGTCTTATAAACCATTGCAGTCTATTGCCTATCACCCTCCACTCTGACTATCTACCAGGACTAGGACAGGGATTTCTACTGACTAGTGTGTTAGTGCATGTTGAGTTTTAAGTTTCTCTTACCTGATGGATAAAGTTCAACAACTTGCTGTTTTCTTTTCTCATGATCTTGCACAGCATCAACCTTTGATTTTCTGTCTGCAAATTGTGTGTTGAGTGCTGCTGGAACCTTTGCCAAATATTTATTTCTTATTTTGGTCAGGTCTGCCTTGCTCAAAGTGAGTAGAACTTCTTTGATGCAAGTAACATATTCTTAAAAATATTAAAATGAAAAAGATATTACTATATTATCCTAAATGTTAGGATGTAACAATTATCATGCACTAAAAATTAATAAGCATAACTCACCATATGTTGGTGGCACTTTCACTTCTCTGACAACTTCATCACCCAGCTTGAATTTGGGGTATGTGACATCGACATAGGCATTTCCATCTTTTGATGTTTGACTTTTCCGATTAATATTCTCATTGAAATGTAAACTTGCTAGGATATGTCTGAAACAAAATTATACAATTACAACATGCATGCATACATAGAGTAAGCAAAACTAGGTTTATATCATAATATAAAACAGTTATAGAATAAATGTATAGTCTTTCTCTTACCTACAATATGTTCCAAACCATGAAAAACAAAGCATTTTTGGGTGCCATTGGTTTAAGGTAGAATGGAACCCTTTAAGAGCACTGGTCTGTGCATCTGGGGACAATTGCTGTATGTCATTTAACACAGTTTTCTTCATAAGAATGCCCTGCAGTTTGTCATATGCTTTTGTACCTGATAAATAATGAAAATATCACTATAGATATATATACTGTACAACTGGCTATCACTTGTTTGATGCTTTACTCTTGCCACATAAATCACTCATTTATTCAAGAGAGATTTTAGTGGCGACAGGCACACAGTGCTCTATGTGGTTATACCAGTATCCATCTTTCAATTTTAATATATCAATTTCATCCTAAACTTACCAACTTTGATCCATTTTCTCTTCTCAATCTCACCATGAGCACATTTTGGAAAAAGATGGTCGGGATGGTCCTCATGCTTGTTTGCTATGTGCTGCATTAAGGACTTCCACTTTGCAAGAATCAGGCTCTTAAAACATCTAACAGTTGATGTTGAACAGACACCGCAGAAATTGGTGTTGGAAGTCAAATATCTCATCAGTTGCTCACATTTGAATCCTAGTATTCAGAAACTGCTGTCAAAGAAAATACTATCAAATAAGTTGAAAACAAGTTCAATTTTTCTTCCAATATCGGTTTTGGAAACTTTTGAAGGCTCTTCGTATGCATCTGCCACTGTAAAATGGCCATTTTGAGACATTTTCAGATGATTTGTTTTTGCTGTGTGCAAGCTTCAAATCTTTTGTGCAAGAGATATTTTGTTGAGTATTTATAAATCTTTTAGCTTGCCGAATTTAAAGTCTAAGTATTGAGAATTACGGCTAAGTCTACCAATTTCCGCGGTGTCTGTTGAACACCAATATATGTGATTGCATACACCTTTCGTCCAATCCTTGATTTTTTCACAGCCTTTCGTTTTACTGGCAGCAAGCATTTTTTTAACAAGACCTTTGGCAACATGCCATTGGTCAAAAAAATGCTTGATTGCAGGGTGTGTCTCTCTTATATACTTGACAATCCCTTTGTGCCGATCTGAAATGAAGACAGGTATTGTCAATCCTGCAGCTGTCATGAGGAAGTCGAAACATCTCTTGCAACCATCCAACTCCATTGCGTTGCTGCTACCAGATTGGTTAGCCTAAAAAAAATTAAACTTTATTATGCATCATTGGTCATCATTACAGTTTGGCACAATTTTTTGGGTACACCAATAAATTTCACTAACAAAACCATGACCATCATAACAATGGCTAATAATAAACATGACAGCCAACCAATCTTAAATACTATACTTCTACAATAGCATTATTTACTCACCTGTAACAATTCAAAATGGACAATTTTCATCAAGGTACGACAGAACATTGTGTACACTCCATATTTTGCGGAATGGCCCATGGAGTCGAACCTCCCATCCCCACTCCACACACTATCTTTAACAGACTTTAATGACTGTACCAGATTAGCTTGGTAGGACTCCTAGTAATGAACAATGCTTGGCAAAATAAATTTGCGTTGGTGGTAAAAAAAGGTTCTTGAGTAGGATGCCAAACCAAAATGCCAAAAAACAAGAAGAACCTTGCTGATAGAAGCGCCAGCCATTAATGTTGCAAAGCTCAAGAGAATGTTTCCCGCTGGATATCTGCCTAGTATAAATGGTTGGCTCCTCCATCGGTATGGTTTTCCAATGACAATTTGAGCATTGCTGCTCAACAGTGACCATAGTACCATTTTGTTCCATTCACACTTCCTGTTTCTCTGTCTTGCATTTAAAACAAAAAAGAGAAAATAAAGCAAAAAGGGAATGGTAAAAAACAATAAATTTTGGCTCATTAACTGATGTTGAAGTTGCATCGACACTAAAAAAGATAAGTTGTGCAGAATAAATTAGAAGTATGCAAGGTGATGTAAGAATGAAGTCCTCTCAGTATAGTGTTATAATAGATCTAACAAATAATATTAGCAGGCAATGTTTAATATATATACAGTACTGTGCAAAAGTTTTAGGCCCCCAGTCAAATTGTCACTTGTTAGTAAAATTCATGGTATTGCAAGACATGCTTGGTAGAAAGACTTGTAGTGGTCTTGCACTTGGTACAGCTACCATGAGAGACCATTATTGCGGCACAATGCCCACTCATTGACCTAACAAGCTTGTTTGTTACATCTGGATCAACAGCCTCACGTGATGCAAAATGGTCTCTTTCATTCTTCCAGATGTCGAGATGGTCTTCTATCTGACCTCTTCCTCACTTATTCCCAAAAATGTTCAATGAGGTTTACATCAGCAATCTCTTATAGCCCTTGGCTGGTCAATATCTCTTTCAGGCTTTCTTCTGAATGACATGGTGCCCCATCTTACTGGAAGATATAATCTCCACCACAAAGCCATCTCATCTATTAGGAAAGTTCTAGATACAAGCCAAACATGCTATTTTCCGTATCTAGTCGAAAATTTACGATCTTGGGACTTTCTAAAAGGTGGAGAGAGCTTTGCGGTTGAGACTTTATCTTTGAACAAGATAAAGCACCATGTTACAGAGAAAAAAACCCCACAGAAAGAAATATCAATCAGTTCAGGGTAACGAAAGAATTCTGACCTAAACCTGTTCGAATATCTCTGGGAATAAGTGAAGAAGAGGTAAGATAGAAGACCATCTCGACATCTGGAAGAATCAAAGAGACCATCTTCACATCACGTGAGGCTGTTGATCCAGATGTAAGAAACAAGCTTGTTAGGTCAATGACTGGGCATTGTGCCGCAATAATGGTCTCTCATGGTGGCTGTACCAAGTGCAAGACCACTACAAGTCTTTCTACCTAGCATGTCTTGCAATGCCATGAATTTTACTAACAAGTGACAATTTGACTGGGGGTCTAAAACTTTTGCACAGTACTGTATATATATTAAACATTGCCTGCTAATATTATTTGTTAGATCTATTATAACACTATACTGAGAGGACTTCATTCTTACATCACCTTGCATACTTCTAATTTATTCTGCACAACTTTTGCATAGTACTGTATATATATACATATACCGTATAACATTTCTTGATTCTTCATTTTCTGGGACCTCATCATCGCCATTATCATCTCTATCCTCATTTGATGGCTCCCAATCTCCTTCAGTATGTTTAAATTCTTCATCATCATAACTATCATCAGTGCCAGGATCATTTTCGACTTGCAACTGACCAATCTTAACAGTTTGTTTTCTTACTTTCTGTAAAAAAATTAGTAGTACATACCTATGTAAAGGGCATATCTATATAATGTTTATCAATATACTTTGTCTTTAGAAATACCCCTAGCAAGTATACATGAATTTCATTTAGAAATATATTTCAGCTGTTTCCAATATATAAAAAAATTGTCTAACATAAAAACAAACACAACATGAAGACACACTTACATTTACTAAGCACTTGTTAGTTTTTTCCAGCTGTTGCACCTTCAGCTTTAGTTTCTTGCAAGTTTGCCTTTACGCAATTCCCCGGAAGTCGGAGTTATGCTAATTGTCGTTTCGATGGGAGCTGTAGTGGGTTGTTGATTTATAGTGTTCGCAGTGGTTTGATCAACAATTTCAATACTTTCAACTTTACAATAAATAGAATCTTTAAAAAAATACATGAACTACCAAATATTTACTTAAGTAGATTAGAACTTTCAAATTATGTTTATTCATAAATTCCGAAAATACAATTATTGACCTAATTATTATTCGTGTACCTGTCTACCCTCTCTTGACAAGATTTCGTTTGACGTTCGCTCCGAAGCAACCGTATCAATTGTCGGGACAGCTGAACTTCTATCCAGCACTTGTTTCGTTTGTGTCGTGCTTGTACCCTCGAGGTTAATATCAATCCGCTTGTGAAAGCAAGAAGCTTCAAAATGGGCAGAGCACAAGCAGGAATATAATGAAGGTTGTCAGTCATGGCGATGTCGCTGTACGAACTGAATCCACGATTTTCGCAGTGAAGAATCCTTTTTAGGAAATTCATGCATTGATA